TTGAACCTGATAGAAAACAAAGGGAGCATAGCATATATATTATATATACATTTACACACATATATGTACATGTGAATTTATGTATGCATGCATCTATGATCTATGTATATACATACATATCTAAGCTGATATAAGAAGCCATTACACCATGCATGATGCATGTTCACTGCCATAAACTACCGGCCCGTTTGGTGAGTATGTTTTTCAGGTTATCAGACTACTACGTAACTTTTTTATCAAACACGTAATTTTTTATTTCGTGCGCTGAATTGTGTAATAATAAGAAAAAGTAAGGTTAAAGTTACTTTTCTGGCTGTATTGGCTGAAATTACTGCAGAGGATCATTTTAGCTATTTTTTAATATAATTTTTTATTTATTTAATTTATAAAATATATTTTATATATATTTTTTCATAAATCAGCCGAATAAGCCAATACAGTCACTTCAACCAGAACTTCATAAATATAGCAGAAACAGCCGATTCAGCCAATTTCAGTGTTACCAAACGGGATCAACCTAAAATATCATATTTGCTCTGGATTTCACATTAATATAATTTTTTATTTATTTAATTTATAAAATATATTATATATATATTTTTTCATAAATCAGCCGAATAAGCCAATACAGTCACTTCAACCAAAACTTCATAAATATAGCAGAAACAGCCGATTCAGCCAATTTCAGTGTTACCAAACGGGATCAACCTAAAATATCATATTTGCTCTGGATTTCACATTCAGATTTTGACGGTGATGGTCAAAGTAATATGATGAAATTTTTAAAAAAGTTGACTTTTCAATGGATCTTCCCAAGTCCTGCTTTATGCATGCAACCCCATAACTTCTCGTGTTCATATATAAGTAAATTCAAATTATAAATCACACTTTAATTAAGCTTAATAGCTCAATAATTAATTAATCTTCTTAACTAACTCACGCACATATATACACTTATTCATTTATCACCTTATCGGCGGCGGCGGCTCATATACAAAATCAATTTCTAGGGCTAATTAGGAGCGAAAATCAAACAAGACGCCATTAATGTATATGTATATATACCTTGGAGATCACACGAACGACGTGAGGAGAGGCCACAGTTCCGAAAGAATTGATCAGTTGACCGAAGATCACCGTCATCAGCGGCTGAGTGACCCCGTACGCGACGGCGCCCACCGTTCCGGCGATCATCAATGCGATATCCAGGCGGTCAGCGAATGAGAATAGCCTATAGAACGCCACCTTCTGATCTTCATGTTTCGTTCCCCCTCCGCCGCCGGGCGCCGCTCTCTCCGGCCGCTCTCTCATCGCTTCGTCTTCACTAGTATTCATCATAGGCACTTTCTTGCGTAAACCTCTTGCTTTTTTCTTTATGTATATAAATCATACGGAGTATTATAATTAAATAATATATATAGGAGTATATATAAGCTTATATGCATAATTAATAGAGGTTTAAGCGATATATAGTTACCCAATTAATAGGATTGGCCAAACAGTGGGAGACCCGCACGTGAAAGGAGTTTGCTTGAACGAATTGAAGATGGAAAAAAGTAATTAGGGTTGTTTAGAGAACTGATTCTGTTTCTCCCCACCTTAAAAAAACTATGAGTGAATTGTAATATCATGGGTATTTCTGCATTTTCATTCGTACACTCCAACTTCTGTTTCTGCTTCTTAAAGAAATGGAAACAATTTTAAGAATCGGATTCAAACACTCCTTTAAAATCGCCACATCGATTGAAGTTACTGTACATAAAATGTTTTTTTTTTAATTTTTGTAAAAAATTGTATCAAAAAACTATTTTTTTTCTCAAAAATTAATAGATTAAATCAATTCAGCTATAATTTCACCAATTTCAATGTATTCATCTGATTTAGTCAATTTTAGTGTTATCGAAAGAACTCTTATTATTGCATAAAATTTGGCCAACACATGAGATTATAAAGTAAAATTGATATGATTGAAATTTAGATTAATAAACGAATAATTAATAAAAACTATAAATTGATTATATAAAAAATATCTATTTTGTTGTATGATTGAAACACGATAATTAGTCTACCGGGAAATTCATTGTTCATGTTCTAATAAAAAAACTAATATTATTTTCATTTTTTTCGTTCACTTTTATTCGAAATTTTCATTAATTTCTCTATGCAGGACACGGGTGGATACAAGTATGGTTACCCAATTAATAGGATTGGCCAAACGGTGAGAGACCCGCACGTGAAAGGGAGTTGTTTGAACGAAGATGGAAAAAGTAATTAGAATGGTAAGTGATAAATAATTAATTAGTAATTATTTTAAAGAGTCATTAAAAGAGTAAGGCAAATGGTAACGCCGTAAATACAGCACTTCTCTTTCGTGCCTGGAAACTATGGGGAGCCATTCCAACATGCCGCTGTGGAGGATGCAATCCTCACCCAACTTTGCAAATCAAGTTTTGTAGATTACATTTTAGGATAGTAATTGCCACATATACCTATGATTACCAATTTGATGTAACGGTTCTTATTCACTTGGTCAATACAAATCACTATTTATCTTTTACTTTATCAAATTTTTATTAAATTTGATTTTGGTTTTTGCGACTTTCGAAAAATAATTTGAATGTGGACAGAGATCTCTTTGTTTTATCGTCGATCAAATATCGTAAACGGTATGCAATGGTATCATATTGAGAAGGTGTATTATTTAATAATGAACACGCTCGTTAAAATTATCGACTCATTCGTCCAACTAATTAAATGATAGGTGAGATATGTATAGTATCTGAATGGAATATTTAATTACTGAAATAAGTGAGTGAACAGTGGTAAATCGATTAATAGATAGAAATGAAATTTGTCTCGTTAGAGCATCTCCATGATATTCAAGTTTACAGTTTTTTATGACTTCTTATTGTCATGTCACTTCCACATAAGATAATCTCAAATAATTTACAAACTTATCAATTTCTCCTCATCCATGAACTTAACTTACCTAGATTTTTTTACAAAGCTAGTTATTATTAGTTGCCTAGAAAATGGTAAGAGGAGTCTAAAAGTGGTGAATAATCTCAAAATAATCCAGCTTTAGAATTTGATACCAGATTATCTCATAAAATAATCTCAACTCCTCATCCATGATCCCAAAAAAAAATATCTACATCATCAAAATGATCCCAAAAATAATCTATGGATGAGGATGCCCTTATTTCCACTGGATTTTTATAAAAATCTAAAGCATAATGATTCAAAGAAAAATTTTGAATTGGGGGAAACAAATTTTATTTGTAGTCAAGCTTCTAGAATCTAGATGACATTTAGTTATGCAACTGTGACAGAAGCTCCTATAAAACATCCTTTTACTAGACAAGGGCTTCTAGATGGATCATAATAATATAGCCTCACGAGTCAAAATATGTTACGGAGTGCTTTATTTTAATTTGGCTAGCCTAAAAAATTAGTACATCCTATTTGTTAGTCAAAAAATGGACGCTCGTAAAACTTTTTAAAAAAGTTAAGAACACTCTAGTAAACTTTTTTTTAAGAAATAAAAAATATGAAAATGAAAAGGGCTAAGAAAGTTAGTTGCCAAAAATAGCATATTCTCTCATTTGAATTACACTTGCCTTTTATATGTGCATACAAAAGGTAACTATTATCAACATTAATGATTACTTAATTACAACATTAATATGATATCAAATACATAATTAATTTGCACATTAATGTATGACCGTTACTCTTCCGCGCTGGTTGGCAGGTCGAACGCTTGACTAGCTCCTTCTCTATTGGGCTGGTGGACAAGTTCCCCGTTGGACTAGAAGATAGGCTTCCTGCCGGGCTGGTAGGCAGCCCCCCCCCCCCCCCCTCCCCCGCTGGAATGCATACATCCGACTCGATCGGTAGGTAGACCACCTTGGGCTTCTGCTCCACTGGACTTCCTTTCTTTGATGAGCTTGATCGGTTGGGTTGACTCAAGCTCTGAGTTGTTGGACCCACTGGTCGGGCTGCCCTGGTGAGGTGAATCTGGGCTTGGGTATGTTGGTCCAGGTTGTGGGCTTGCACTCGTGGGTCCAAACTTCGGGGCATGGGGCGATTAAGCTATGGACTTAGTCCCGCACCCCCTATTCATGTGTATTTTTATAGATGCCCAAAAAGGGAAGAAGTTTGTTATTTGTCTCAATTGAAGTTTTTAAGTTCTAATTTGACATGAATTTTTAAAATTTAATATAAATTTTCTAATTTGTTTTTTTAGATGCATTAATTGTTAATAGATTTTTGGAAGTCTTTAATAGAAATTTCTTCAATGTTGATAGGGTTTCTTTGGTGAAAGGGGGTTTGGGTAGAAGAACCAAAGATAAGAAGTATTACGGAACAAATTATCCATGATCAAATTTTCTCTTCAATTTGAAGAAACTTTCAAAGGATTCACTGCCTTTAAACCAATCTCTTCACTCGGATGCGGCTTAACAAGAGACTTACTACCCACAAAGTATTATTCTTTGAATTAATATAACTTATTATATATAATACATTTCTCACCTTCGTGGCTCTGATACCAGACACACTCAGAGTTGTCAAAGGGGCACATTTTTTATGTATCATATAAAGTATTATTAATGTGTGTCTGGTCAACATATGTGGGGCAATGCGATGGGAGATAAGTTTGGGTAAATTCACGAAATAAGACTAAAAATGTTTGAGATTTCAAAATAGGACTATCATGTTTTTATTTTCTAAACAAAATTAATTACTGCCAACTTTGAAAAATACTGTCATGTTTAAATTCTAGTACTGTCAAACCGTTACAGTAATTGATTCTATTTAGGAAATAAAAACATGACAGTTCTATTTTGGAACAGACAAACACATTTAAGGCCATTTCCGGTCCTAACCGAACCTGGTCCGGTCTGGTCCAGTTTTGGACCGGTGCACACCCCTCGTTGGAATCGGAGAAGGAGACAGGGGTTTAGGGCCCGTATTGATGCTTGTAAAAAACAGTTGGCCTGGTTGCGTGAGAGAGGTGATCAACACAGTAGTATAGATTTTATATGCATGTCCAAGCTGCTTTAGTTGTTCTCTTGAAAAAAGAAATTATTTTTTGGAGACAAAGGGTTAAGGAATTCTGACTAGAGGAACGATATCGCAACTCAAATTTTTTCAATAATGTTGTTGAACAGCGAAGACGTAATAATATGATGCTGGGACTAGAGAATGGCACGGGAGTCTAGACTAATGAGATGGAGGAGATGAGAATGATAGTTGTGGATTATTTTGTGGGTTTACTCGGAGCATCAGCAGCAGGGCAACAAGGTGAGGCCGAGATCGATTTTAATAAATTCTCTTTCATCCATAATCAGGAGCTTATCAGTCCGATCACGGCAGAGGGGGTAAAGAAGGCCGCTTTTGATATGCACCCAGATAAAGTGCCAGGAGCTGATGGTATGGATCCTGCATTCTTTCAGGCTTTTTGGGATATTGTTGGGGCATGTATAGTATCTATTTGTGCATCTATTTTTTATTCGGGGTGTATGCCACATGATTTAAATATTACTAATATTGTGCTAATCCCGAAAAAAGATACGAGGGGATTGGAGGTCGATTGCTTTGTATAACGTGGTATATAAAATTTTTTCTAAAGTGCTAACGAACAGGTTGGAAGGAATGTTGGACTCTGTAATTGGATAAAATCAAGGTGCTTTTATACCAGGGAGGTCGATAGTAGATAATATCATGGTTGATTTCGAGAGTCAGCATTTTATGAATAGGAAAATGTGTGGGAAGGAGGGATTTGCGACGCTATAGCTAGATATGAGCAAAGCATACAACCGGGTGAGTTGGGACTTCCTCCTGAGCATTAGGGAGCGGATGGGTTTTCAAGCGAGGTGGATTCAGGTGACTATGTTATGTATTAGTACTGTTCAGTATTATATCTAGTTCATGAGGGGATTTTATTGAGCCCATTACTCCATTTAGGGATTTAAGACAGGGAGACCCGTTGTCTCCATATCTTTTTATTCTGGTGGTAGAGGGTCTTATTGCCGCCCTCCGAAAGGCCGAGGGCAGGGGGATATTCATGGAGTTGTTGTTTGTAGAGGAGCACCAAAATTGTCTCATCTTTTATTTGCTGATGACCGTCTCTTATTTTTTAGAGATAATTGGGGGGATGCGATGCGAACAAAGGTGTTTTGGAATAATATGAGCTAGTTTTTTGCCAGACTGTTAATTTTAGTAAATCTTGCATTTCTTTCGCCCCAAATGTGGAGGGTCTGGTTAAAGATTAATTTTTTCAACCCATGGGTGTGTGTGTGGGGGAGGGGGGGGGGGGGGGAATCAGTCTCGTTTTTTGGGTCTACCTGCCCTGCTTTATTTGGGAGGAATAAAGATGCTATTCTGAGATATTTGCGGGATGTGATTGTTTCTTGCATTAAAAGCTCAAATAATAAATTTTTATTTACTGATTTTGCTTCCTAACTAGCTTTGTGAGGAGATTGAACGACTCATGAATGGATATTGGTGGAGGGGGACCAACTTTGATAAAAAAAAGGATAAGATGGAGGAGTTGTAGAGTTGTGTCGGTCACGCAATGAAGGGGAGTTGGAGTTTCGATGTGTTAGGGATTTTAATCTGGCCATGCTCTCTAAACAGGCTTGGAGATTATTTGCAGAGGACAAAAGCTTAGTGAGTTGTGTTCTTAAAGCGAAGTATTATTCGAATTTGTCTTTTATAGAAGCTCATATGGGCAATAATCCCTCTTAAATCTCGAGGAGCATTATGGAAACACAAGTTCTGCTAAAGACACGTACACATAAGAGACGGGGAATGACAAAGGTACTTAAGTTTGGGCTGACCGACCAACCAAGAGGAATTCAGGACATGAATGTAACTGCATTGCGGGATGAGACCAGACGAGCATGGAATGGTGACAGAGTGCGGGCTTTATTTTCACAGGAAGAAAGTGAGAAGATCTTGAGCATTGCGATTAGTTTGTTTGACATGACAGGTGGAGTGCGGTGGGTGAGTGAGAAAATGGTATTTTCTCAATAAAAAACTGTTATAAATTAATAGCAAGGGTGACAGCCCCCTAAAGCTGGTTGCGTTGGACGGCCATGTGGTCTCTAAAAATACCCCCAAAGTTAAAAGATGTCTTTTTGACATCTCATGAATGGGTCTATTCCTACTTATTAAAATCTTAGTAGGAAGAAGATTGTTTTACCTTTGACTTACGGGGCTTGCAGCGTAGAGGAGGAATCAACAACTCACATTTTCCATGGTTGTTCGACGGCTAGGGAGGTTCAAAGTGCAGCGAACGGGTGACAATATTATCTGGTGGATAGTTTTGAACTACAGCTAAAGGACAATCTAGTAGGGAGTAACAAAACCACTTGTGGACGGTTTATAACAATTCTCTCAAGTCTTTTGAAACGGAGAAATAATTTAGCCTGGAAAGGGGAAAATCAAAGTAGTGTGGTGGTTGTAAGATGTGTTGATGGAGTGTTATCTGCTTGGGATTTAGCTCGGGGGGAAATATAGATGCAGGTGCAAGGAGTAACACAGGTGTGGAGAAATTAGGGAAACCTTAGGTAGGGGCTATCAAAATTAATATAGATGCGACAGTGAATGAGGCAGGAGGGTAACCAAGCATTCTAGCCCAGCTGGTTGTGAGGTTACCGTGCCTAGTGAGAGTCTCGAGTTCGAAACCCGCTAGACACATGAAGGTTTGAAACTCAATGGAGTGAGTTTCAGCCCTAATTACTCCAGGCCCCCAACCCCAACCCCAGACACCCCCTGAAGTAAAAAAAAAAGTGAATGAGGCAGGAGGGAATTGGAGTTCGGAGTTGGGTTGCTTGCAGAGATCAGGGGACATTCCTATAGGCTGCCAGTAGATTCAGGAAAGGAGGATGGAGTCCGTGAGAGTTGGAAGCTTTGAGGATTAGAGAAGGAGTGATGGATGCCTTAAAAGAAAGGTGTGACCGTGTGGAGTTTGAATCTGATGCCCTTGTAATCGTTAACGGGGTCCGAGGGGTGCAAGGTGGATCTTATATTGATCTGCTCTTAGAGTATATTCAGAGTTTTTTGAAAAATAAGAGTGAGTTTAGTCTCTTCTTCTAAATGCTCTGCAAATCGCGCTGCTAATACTCTAGCTAGGCGAAGTCTGTTATTACTAGACAATGATAGCTATTTTATTAAGGTGCCTGATAGTATTGGAAGAATGTTTTTACTTGGACTGTTTTCAGTCCCAGACCAGACCAAACCAGAATTAAACAGACCAAACCAGACTCAAACAGATTAGACCAGACCAGATCAGACTTGACTTCCGTAGTTATAAAATACACAGACACCAGACGTTTACCGGACCAGACCAGACCAACAAATTACAATCCAAGTAAAAACATCCTAAGTCAGTTGACAAACAATTTTTTTTTCTCCTCGAAGGTTGACAAATGATTTATTGGAGTAACGATATGTTTTTTTGCTGCAAAAAAAAGCATCTTCTCCAAGGCGGCCCAGGGGCAGGGGGCTGTGCCCTAGGCCCAAATAAAAACAGGCCCAAATATTTTTCTTTTTACGGGGTGAGATGTATGAGTGGGTTAATTTTTTCAACCCTAAATTAATTAAATTGTCCAGCCCAACGACCTGGCCCGTCCAATGGCCCAAGAATACCAAAAAGAGTAAATGAGTATTAGAGAATAGAGAATAGCGGTTCCAGCAATCACCCTTCAGCGTTCAGAACATCACGGCCGAAAAAGGACAGCCAGCAGCCGAGCGGATCGACATCGACGAACGCCAAGGGCCAAGTCGTGAAGTCGGCGGCCGCAGACCGCCTGCCGCCTGTTCCTCAGTCTTCTGTTACAGTGGTGCGCCGTGCCCCCGTGAAGCCTCCAGTCGTGCTCACTTTTAGCCTTCACTGCCTCACAGATTCAGCTTTCAGGTACTCCGTGCTCCTCCCAAATCCGGATTCCCGAATTTCTCGGCCTTCTTTTAACGATTTAATATGATTGTTTATTTATTTGATTAGTTTATTATTTAATTGATTTCATTCAGTAATGGGAGGGAAGTGCCCCCATCGAAGCGTGAGGAAGCGCCGTTACTCTCACAAAACTGCCCGCCGCACTAAATTCTTGGTAAAAGGAGACGACGCCGTTTACGAGGAACTTCACAAACCGGAGGAGCAGGGTCTAGCGAAAGCCATGCCCGTGGATGAAGACCTCCCAGGCATGGGGCAATACTATTGCCTTCACTGCGATAGATATTTTGCGAATGTTACTGTGAGGGATGACCATTTCAAGACTAAAAAGCACAAGAAGCGTCTGAAGATGATGATGGGAGGAGCGCCCCACACACAACTTGATGCTGATTTAGCTGGTGGGATGGGCCATCCTGATAATGGACCAAAGTTCATGTCAATGGGTTGAGATTTTGCCCTAATGAGCTCTGTTCACTACAACTTCTGATAAAAGAGGTCTTTCCTTAAACATATTTGTTGTGTTTTTTTGTTTAAAGAATATATTACAGCAGGTCTAAGGTATTCTGTAGTTGAGTATTAATATAACTAGTTTTGATTCCAGTGTGTTTTTCGCTCCATATTTGTTCTGTATTTTATGCTGCATTCTGCTTACCCAGTCATTTTCAGTTTTACTTGAGTGAAGAACAGAGAGCTGAATAAAAAACTCTCTTGACCGGTCTTGAACTTGTGTGCTAGTCTCTTTTGTTTTCAACTCTTTAATACAAGTTCTGATTTACAAAATACAACTGCATCTTGAGCATCCGCTAAGTGTACACTTTTTGTATATTGTATATGCGTATATTTTGTATATTGTGATACATATTTGTTACAATAGTTTCATTAAAAGTTCTTCATAATCATCAACACTCTACCACATTTCTATCTTAAAATTTGTCCTCTTTCATCCATTTAGGATGTTTTTACTTGGACTGGAATTTTCAGGTCTGGCCTGAACTAGTTTGTTCTAATATGATAAGGTATGTTCTCTGTGTAGTTTATAACCGTTCTACTCTGGTTGGATCTGTTCTGGTATGATCTGGTATGTGATTGAAAAGTGTCCAAGTAAAAACGTTCTTATTCACATCATCAACCAACATTAGTTCTTACTTTTCACATGAGCCTGAGAATTAAAATTGTATTTGTCAATCAAGTATACATATATGTTTATACACACATATATGGTTAGATATCTAAGGCCTGGTTCGTCTGGATATGAATGGCACATAATATTGAGAGGAACAAATTTTAGCAAAGAACATGACTTTGAGAAAGAGTGGGAGCGCAAGAACAGATGTGGAGAGAGAATGGAGAGAAAAGAAAATAGAATTGTCGCTATAACTGGAGTTGAAGTTTGTGGCCGGCGTCTGGGGTGTGCTGGTGACCGGCGTGAAGGGTGTGCGCGTGGCCAGCGATTTTCACTCAGATGAATGCAGAAAACGTGATGCCGTGAAGTAGCATGGGATTGATGAATTGATCCTATTGTACAAGTAAGGAAAACAATAAAGAAAAATACAAAAGGGAATGTGAAATGGAAAGTATCTGTCACGTAGGCTGTCACTGTGTCACATGTGCAATTGGATGGTTTTTAATAGTTTTAGGATTTAATTGGATGTTTTTAAAATATGATAATCTAATTGCTGTTTTTAATTTAGTTCAGGAACTTATTCACCAGTTTTTTCAATGTTGAAGCAGAACTTAATCATGGGATGACTATTTGGAATTCTAATTTGATTGGAGCAGTCCAATCTCGCAAACTAATTATTCAACAAAAAATTTAGCAATGCAAACAATGCCTGAGGGCAGAGGCCTAGACGCCTAGTTCCTAATGGGAATTGAGCAGGACCAAGCTGAGAATAGGTGGGTTCGGGCAAATTGGGCTTAGGCTAGTAAAACATAAGTATCGGAGTGTAGGTACCTGCACGGGTAGTTTAGTTGGTCGAGTGGTGGGAAAATTGGATTAAGTGACCAATGTTCGAAATCCGCAGCGGTCGTATGGAGATTACAGAACCTGAAATAAGACTGGACCTCTGGTTCGCACGTTTATAAGACTTACTGCTGCTTTGCTGTCTGAGTCACCGTGATTAATCTCCTCACCATCTTGTCGGGTCGGGGTGGAGGGCTCCTGGGGTGGGAGATTCCACCTTTTTGGACCGAGGATCAGAGTGTAGGTGAGGCCATTTCTGAATTAAAAACGTTAAATAGAGCTTTATTTTTCCTTTTTGTTGGAAGTAAACTTAAATTGATAACACATCATTCAGATAATGGGTAAAAAGACACAAAGACCCCTGACAACCGTCGACGATCAAATTAACCAGACTCAGAGTTTATCACCTCTTAAGAAACAATATAACTCGCTGATCCATTACTTGACGCAAATGAGCCAAAGATGGTTATCACAGACCTTTTGTCATCCACATCAAAAAATACAGTCTTACAATGAAATAAAACGCACAATCGAATGTAAACAGTAAACTTCGGGCAATTAAAAAATAGAAAAGCAAAAATTAAAACTCCTGCCCCATCGTACAGATCACCACCATCTTCCATGTACCTGGAGCCTCCTTCTGTCTTAGATGCTTTGGTGAGCCTACGACTCAGAACCATGTTATCCCCAATTTGATTCTCTGTTTCCTGAGCCTCCCAGATCCGCCTTCGTTTTTGCTCCCTTGACACTTCCTCAGTGCTTTCGAATTCCACATCTTTTGTCTAGGTGTTAATCGTACCCGATGTGGATGAACCATCTACTAGATACTTGTTACCTCCTGTAGGACTAGTCTTCACCCCACCATCAACTCTAAGGTGTGCCCCAAATGTTTTCTCCAGTACAAGATTTTCTTCGTATGCCAACGAACAAAACTTATCAGAATGACCAATAATGTTACACACAAAACAGATATTGGGTAGCTTTTCATATTTAAAATCCACCCAATGTTCAATCCCTCCTTTTTTGAGGGTTGTACCTTTATTTAGATGTTTTTCCACATCCACACAGATAAGCTTCCCATTTCTCCTCAAATTGGTTTTCATCATATCGAATAAATTTACCAATCCTTCTACCGGTACCCGGATTCATAAAACTATAAGGGACATTATGAACTTGTACCCAAAACTTAGCTTCATTTAAACTGGTCTTAACCAAAATATCCTTAGGTCTCACCTCCTTTAGAATCAACAGATTCCTCTCATATTGCCACGAGCCACCATCTAGAACACGTTTCAATTATGATAGAAAGTAAATAGATACCTTTTATCGCCAATTTCTTTAATCGTCACACCTTTTCTCGGCCTCCACAATGATGCCATAAGCTTCTTAAACACTGGGAACTTGATCTTTCTGTCCGTCAACAGAGCACCCACAACTGGAAATTTCAATCGAGTCTCCTCCACTGATGGTTCATCAAACTCGATCTCATCCATATTCAGTTCCCCAGGATCCCCTCCTATAGCCATCTTCTTGTATTGATCAATATTTTTTTTATCTACAACGATGTTTGCTCCACGCCCAGAAGTCGAAGCCCTCAACCGGACTCCCCGAACTCCGCCATCCTCTCTGAGGAGAAGACGTCACTGCTACCCCCCGCCACTAACTTCCACCGCCTCTGACCTCCGCTACCTCTCTCCTTTGTCTGATGCTGCTAGATAAAACTAAATCCCGACAGCGCCGCTCCTCGACTATGTCGATAGCAGAAGAAACCAAACCCTAGCGGTGGAAGCCACCCTAGAGAGTTTTTTTCACAAGAATTTTTTCTGTTTTTTATGAGATTTTTTATAGGCTATATAGAGCTTTATTTTTTCTAAAAATTGTTTTGATTATATGTTTAGTACAAAAACACTTTTAACAATTTTTTATTCATCTTATTGGTTTTCTTATATCTTTAAGAGAATGAGTAATACATAGCTTAATCTCAAATAAGAGAGTGTGGTTGTTTTCAACCAAATATGAGACCCTTTCACTCGAAATTTGTTGATTATTAATATTTTCTTATTCTTTTAATATGACTAAATAATTCATATTTTGGGGGAAAACATGCTCAATCATGTTTTTTATATTTTACTCCTGTTTAAGTTTTTTTTTAATTTGCAATAATTATTGATTTTAGCCCTTCATAGAACATGATATACCAATTGTAATCATCCATTGTCGTAGCTTTTGTTAGACAATTAGTTTTTTGAAAGGAAATCATCTATATTGATATCATTAGAATCCGTTACATCAATCTCAAAGTGACTAAAATTGACAAGAATTAGCCATACGATTAGACATAGAGATGAGCACCCCTGAAGGAGCAATAAGAATCGCTAACCACCAGACGAGCTTAATGTATCTATTGCTGAACCAATAGATCCGTCCCCACTAACAGTATCAAAATTAGCCGAACCCTCGGTCAACGTAATAAACCTAGTACCATGAACAATAACCAAAAGCAAAACGATAGCAACAAAGTTTATTATTAACAAACTAAAAATAAGAAAAATGAAATTAAGCAGGATGAACTGATTGAGAAGCTGAATCCAATCTTGCAGTGCCGCGTTCCGGCCATTAGTCTCCTAGTTCCAACATGGCGACGACTCAGGAGTGGGACGAATCTTCATCACTTCATCTTTTTCCTTCATCACATTGATCTGCTCGTGAGTCGCCTCCATCT